AGGGATGCACTTACACACATGCAGGCAATACATTCATATACATAAAATAAAAATAATAAAATATTAGAATAATAATAATTTTAAAACAGTGCGAAGGAGACAAAGGTGAATCCCTAGGGCTTGCTGGTCGGCTAAGCTGAATTAGTTAGCTACAGGTTCAGTGAGGGGCCTATCTCAAAAAAAAAAAATGGTGGAAAGTGATTGAGTGTTTTGCTCCATATTGACCTCTGGCTTCTACACACACACACACACACACACACAACTATACACACAGAAAAGAACTGCTTATCTGCCCACTCCACTTCCAGGTTATGGCCAAGGGACACTGGGTGTGGTGGTCAGGCTTAGGTTAGTTAAAACCCAAAGACCTAAAATGACAGGGCTTTCCTTGTCTCTCTTTTAAAAGTATGGTTGGAGAGCGTCTCTGGGGGGTGGAGAATGCCTGTGTTCTGAGCACTAAATCAGGACGACTTCTTGTCACAAGTTTTTTCCAGCCAACATTTAGAAATGGGCAACTGCCTTCTGGCCTCTTTCCTTTAATGTCCAGGTACAGTGGGGACTTGTGCTTGTTTTGGGGAGCTCCATTCTCACCTACCACATCCATGCTGGGGCTGCCTAGCTCCTGGTTGCCTCTCTTTCCATCTTTCCCCTAGCTGGCTCCCTGGATGACACCTGTGGTAGTGCCTCATGGACAAGCTATGTCACTGGCTTAGGGATGTGGTGAGGATTCTCCCGGGATTTGGAGCAGTAGAGAGAGGTTACGGTATAGGCCAACTGCCAATTGAACTCTAGGCCTGGTTGGCTATGCCCCACCTTCCAGAATGTGCTCCTTTTTTTTTTTTGTTTCTTTGAAGCAGGGTCTCTCTGTAGCCCCAGCTGTCCTAGAACTCACTATGCAGACCAGGCTGGTCTTGAACTCACAGAAATCCAGCTGCCTCTGCCTCCCAAGTGCTGGGACTACAGGTGTGCGCCACCACGCCCGGCTCAGAATGTGCTCCTTCTCTGGCCCTATCTTTCACTCTGGACTTAACCCTCTGTTCTCTTGAGACCTCCCCTCACCTCTGGGTTGCCCATGCAGAACCACCATTGTATTCTCATGTTCCCTCCTGTAGTCCCAGCTCCCCATTGACAGGGAAATGGAACGACCTGCAAGGAACCAGGGGCACTTTAGTTTGCTCCCCTTTGTAAAACGCAGGCCATATAGTCTCACTTTGTAGCCCAAGCTGGCCTCTAATTCAAGGTGCCCTGTTTCAGCTGCCTAAGTGCTGGAATTTCCAGCCTGCACCAGTACACCAGGCTCTAGACTGTGTTTTCACATCTTACGGACTCCAACTCATCCGGGGACTGAGACTCTATATTGTGGATGGGGCTGTCTGTGCTGGGACTGCACATACAGATGCAAGACAGTGTGACCCCTGAGCTCAAGGGGGCCTCAGAAGGAAAAAGTAGCCTCCTCATTGAAAATGAAGGCATGCCAACTGGATGCAGTGGGATGAGTGTCCGGCTGTTTAGAGCAGAGTGCCTTGAGTCTGAAAGACCAAGAAAAGGTTCTCCCCTATGCAGAGACATTTGATGGGAGCTAGATCCAGATGGCTTAACTTGGGATGGGGGCAGCCAACCAGGGCAATGTGGTTTTGAAAAAGATCTCCCAGCTCTTTGCCTGGCATATTTCCCCAAATCAGCTTCACTAAATCTGCAGCCCCACACAGGCAGTGGTTATAACCTCTCCCTTATCTGTCCATGGTCTCCCTCTCCTGTTCTCCTCCCCCAAAGGATGGGAAATCTTCAAAGAAAGAGATGTGTCACTGTAAGTATACAGCCTAAGAAACGGGCCAGATAAATTATTAAAGCACAGAAAAAGCGAGCATGGGGCAGGAAGTCCTTAGAGGGTGAAGAGCCGTCCCAGGGAGATAGTGCCCTGGAAGCATCTAGGGAGTCCATTCTCAAAGTTGTGTGTGGGTGACCCTGTCCCCATCAGGCCCAGGGCTTTTCATGCCAGAGACCAGTGAGCAGAGGGGATGAGGTTCTGACAGGCGCCTGCTAGCCTGGAAGCTCCAAGGTAGTTGGACCCTCCGTGTCTGGACACTTGGGATTTACTTCCCCTAAGACTCAAGCTGGCAACTACAGAGTTTTGGTTTTTGCTTTTATCTCTTTTTGAACTGCAAAGAGACATTCCCAAGGGGCAGAGGGGATACTATTTTCTCATGAAAGAAGAAAGTCATGAAGGGTTTTAAGGAAGTAATCAACGTTCTAAGCTCTGTGAGAGTTTGGCTTTGATTTCAACACCCCTGGTACTGGTGGGGGGTGTGGGTGAGAGGGACAAGCAGGCACCTTGAGGGAGGTCCGCTTCCATGGCAGAACGTTCTGCAGGCCATTCTCCCTCAAATTAAGACCTCGGACACAGCCTGCTTTCTCCTGGTCCTTAGAGCTGCTCTTCTGTTTCCCCAAAGCTCAGGTATTGAGCTTCTTGCTCTGGACACTAAGCTAGGTAAATCTGGGGTGTCGTGGCCATGGGATATGTTTAGTAGCCTGACTGACCTAGACAATATTAACCCTCTCCTGCGGGTGAAGCTGTCTTCTGGCCTCCACACTGTGTGTCACTCATCATGGGCACCATTTCTTGTCTCTCTTCCACCCAGGACAGCCCATGAGAGTGGCACTGTACATTTCATTCAGATACATATTTTAAGTACTAGAACAATGCTTATTACACAGCTGATACTTATTATTTCTTTCCAAATGGTGGGCTATTAGATCTGGAATGTGCTGGAAAACCTGAGGTAGTGAAAATGGGCACATGCAAAGGAATCAACAGACTTGGGGTTGGTTTTTAAGGACACTGATTAGCTGTGGTATGGGGTTCCAGTCAAGCCTGGGCTACAGTGTGAGACCTTGACTCAAAACAAAACAAAAACTCAACAGTACTATTTTTTTATTTTGTGTGGCCCTAACAATCCTCTAATGAAAGCATACTGCCCTAGCTTTAGGTGCCTGCTTAGAGTCATTTCCTCAAACAGGGTATGTAAACAGGAATTGGGAAGACGAGATTGTGGAGGACCTCACAGCTCCAGTTCCTGTTGTCCTTTGAAGCAGGTTGATGCTCAGAGCTGTGCTACTTAGCACAGTAGCCACTAGCCACATGCAAAGGTCACTTGCGGTGTGGTTATTCTGCTTGAATGGTTTCAAGTGTAAAATGCACACCAGTCTTCTTTTGTTTGTTCTGTTTTTTTGAGACAGGGTTTCCCTGTAGCTCCAGCTGGCCTAAAATGTAGATCAGGCTGACCTCAATCTCACAGAGATCTGCCTGCCTCTGCCTCCTGAGTGCTGGGATTAAAGGTGATGCACCCCAGATTTTTAAAATTTTATTTTATTGTAAATATTTTATTATTTTTTATTTTATGTGCATGAGTGTTATGCCTGCATGTATGAAAGTGCACCTGTGTCATGCAATGCCCATGGAGGACAGAAGGGGTTGTCGGATTCCCTGGAACTGGAGTTACGGACAGTTGTTAGCTGCCATGTGGGTGCTGGGTATCAAACCCAGGTCTTCTGTAAGAACAGTGTTCTTAACTGCTGAGCCATCTCTCCAGCCCAGATTTTAAGGACAGTGTTAAACAAAGACTGTAAGATCTTATTATATGTTGCTATATTTTGAGTCTATTGAGTCTAACAAAATACTTTCGCCTGTCTTTAAATCTTTAAATTACATTTACTTACCTATTTATTGTGTGAGCATGTGTGGGCACACCTGTGCCACCTGGAGTCTGGCTCTCTCTGTCCACCACCTGGTCTCCCGGGACAGGAGACCTCGAGTCCTCAAGCTTGGCAGCAAGTACCTTGACCCACCTGTTTAACTTTTTAAAAAAGTATGGATGGAGGATATAGCTCAACGGTAGAGTGCTTGCCAACATGTCCAATGCCCTGGGTTTGCTTCTGAGTCCCCCCCCCAAAAGTGCCTACTTGTAAGTCTAAAATGACCACCATAACTCATGCATTTCAATTGGGTACTGCTGCACAGGGAGCGGAACTAAGAAGGAACGAAGTCTCCATTGTACAGATCATAAAACCGAGACTCACTGAAAGAATCCAGCCCGAAGGGCTGAACTGGTCTCCTCACGTGCTCTAGGGCTCTTTCCCATGCCCAGGCTACTAGATACCAGGATGAGCTTAGCTTGGGTCGAGGCGTGGTGTTGCCAGCAGAGATAGCATTCCCTCTGAGGACCACAAAGTTGGGGTAGAGGCCTTCACGTCGTCCTTCCCTTCGCAGAGAGCTCCCCAGACAAAACAAACAAGCACTCGGGGTCTGGCGAACTGCGGGGAGGGGGGGGGGATGGGCGGCGGAAACCAAGAAAGATCAAAGACTCGGCCTTTCCCCGTCCCGGCCTCGCAGCTTGGCAGTGCGCCCCGACCCCAGGCGGCCACTCGCTAGCCTCTGGGCTAGGAGCTGCGAGCTACCGGCGGATAGCTACGGGCCTCTGAACACTTGTCGCTCCCAGGAGTGGGATCAACCCGCACCGGCCCTAGGAGCCCTGGGGATTTCTTCTGGATTCCCCAGTACAAAATTGGAGGGGTCAAAGGAGGGGCACCGGGCGGGAAGCAAGCATGTGAAAGCTCAGCAGACGCCTGCGCCGGGACAGCTGAGGTCCTCATCGCGACCTCAGTTTCCCAACCTGTAAATTGGAGCCAGGTCCCACCCTTCCCACTCCGAGCAACTGCAGAGCGGAGGGGAGACGCAGTGCCACAGCTAGGGCAGCGCTCCTCCACTGCCTCGGCCGGAGCCGCCGCCCGGGAGTCCGCTGCACCCGCCTGGCGGGAGACCTAGGCAGCGCTGCGGGCGCGCGGCCCAGCGCATCCGGAGCCCCGCGCATCCCGAGGCCGCGCCCCCAGGCCACGCCCCCGCCAGATCCCGGCGCTCGCCTCGCCTTTGATGCGCCGCGGCCGCCCAATGGCGCACGGGGAGGTTCGGGGGCGGGGCCTGTGGGGCGGGCAGGGGGCTTGGCGCGCCCGGGCGTCAGTCGGGCCGCAGCGACAGCGGCAGGAGCGTGTCCAGGCGTCGCCTGGGGCTGCGCTCGGCGGGCGGACAGCTAGCTCGGTGAGGAGCTGAGCAGAGCGAGTCGCGGTTCACGGTCCGCGGCCGGACGCATGGCTTAGGGCGCTCGCCGCCGCTCCCCAGCATGGGGAAACTTCACTCGAAGCCGGGTCAGTGCCCCCGCCCGTGCCGCCCCGGCCCCGGCCCCGGCCCCGCGTCCTCCCCGCCGGTGCTAACTCTCCTTCTCCTTTCTTTCCGGCTCCCGCCGCCGCCGCCGCCGCGCGCGTTGTGCTGCAGCCGCCGTGTGCAAGCGCAGGGAGAGCCCGGAAGGTAGGGGCGCGGGCCGGGGGGCGCGGGGGGAAGCGGCCCAGCCGCTGGATCTCATTACCCGGCCCGCTCCAGCCCCCAGCTCCGCCCCGGGAGCGCTCTTGGGGCCCCTCTGCCCCTCCCCGCAGCCCCGCGCGCCCTCTCCTGACCCTCGCTCCCTCCCTCTTGGCGGCCTTCTCCCTCCAGACCCCCAAGATCCTGCCCCCTTCATCCGCACCAGCCCCTTCCCAGGACTGCTTGGCCTCTGCGCCCCACCGCGCCCCTGTCCTGACCCGCAGTCCTCTCCTCCGCAGCCCCGGCCTCGGCGCTCGCTCCTCTGATCCTTGAAGTTTTTCAGTACGGGTCCTGCCTTTCCTCTCTGGACCCTTGCACTTAGGGTTTCGCTGAGCCCCCTTTCTTGCTTACCTCCTTTGGATTCTACCCTAACGCCTGACCCTCCTTGACCACCCTCCCTTCGATACCTTTGCTCCCTGGGCTGTGCCGCCTGGTTTCCTTCCCTCCACTTTCAGGTAACTTTTTGCTAGTTGGGGGACTCAGACTCAGGGGCTCGTGTTGTTCCCGCCCCAGGTGACAGCTTCGCTGTGAGTGCTGCTTGGGCACGGAAGGGCATCGAGGAGTGGATCGGGAGGCAGCGCTGCTCTGGCGGCGTTTCAGGACCCAGACAGCTGAGATTGGCAGGCGCTGTTGGTCGAGGCACCCGGGTATGGCCCCCCAATCTGTCCTTCTGTCCCACCTCTTTATCCATTTCAACCTTGGAGATGGGTCTGCATACCACCCCCCCCCCAACTTTTAGCATCCTGCTGGCACAGCATCTAGGTCCAAAAATCCCTTCTCAGCCAGTGCCTGCCCCTCTAGTCTGACTTGTGCTTCATGCTTTGGGGGACCCTTGGAGGTCAGGTCCGTACGATACAGTCTGCTGCCCAGTTGGGGGCAGAGGGCTTCCTGGGGAGAGGTGCCAGGGAGGAGGTAGTCCAGGTCCTGTGGGTGGAAAAGCTGCGGGGGTTGGAGGCCTCTGCCTTGCTTCTGTGGCCAGCCTTCAGAGAGGGAGGGGTTAGGGATAGAGGGAGAGACAGGAGTGTCTGGGTGGAGGGCAGAGCTGTGCTGGCCCAGGATCTGTGGCCACTTCCAACTGTGAGTGTCTGTGGCATCCATCAGTGCCATCTGCCATCTGAGTGTAGAGTCTGGGGGCACTGAGATCTGACTGTCCCCGAAGTGTGGCCCTTGGGGGGGGGTCTCATTTATGGTGATCCTAGCACACCCTGTACCTTCACAGCCAGGGGGTCCTTGAGGCTAGAGCTGTTCTGCAGGAGCAGGGAGTGGGATGGGGTAGTGAGTGAGTCCCACCCTGGTGCCTGGCCTGGGACTGGCGTTCACGGTTGTCCTGTGAGTTCCAGAACACTGCATGGGGCTTTCAGATGGTGTGCGTGGAACTCTTGCAAGCCAAGGATCAAAGGATGAATCAACTTTTTGATGTGACATTTAATTTTTTTTTTTTTTTTTAACTTAGAGGGGGAACAGACCAAGCCTCAGGTCTGGTTAGTTCTTTGGTCTTGTTCTTTGAGAGACTGGTGGAGTCTTCAGATGTGTGTGTGCTTGGGTGGTGGCACGTGGCAACTCCATTGCAGAGAGGTGGTTTGTGTGTGTTAAATATCCTCTGTGTCTGGGACAACCCCCCCCCGCCCCCGCCCCCATGGTTCAGGCTTTCTTTTCCCTGGCCCTCTCGTTTGCTGGCTGGGCTGGGATTAGAGCTGCTATCCTGGTAGAAAGGTCACAACTGGGGGGCGGGGGTGGGGGGAGAGACTGCATTTGCAGCCTTTTAAGATTGGAACCACAAACTTCTTCCACCATTCCTAGTTTTTTATGTACTTATTTAAGGACTGGTGAAAATGATCCAGTTTAGACATATGAACAGATGGGTTTGCCGTTCAAGACAGGCCAGCGGAGAGGATTTCCATTAACCAGGTTTTGTTTTTTTTTCAACCTGTTTATTTTTACAGAGTATTCCTGCTGAATGACATTTATTTGTGCTCTCTCTCCTCTTTCTCTCTCTCTGCCTCCTTTCTCTTTTTTCCTAAACTGCCAGGCAGCTTTTGCTCCATGCTAGAGGGGAAACTTGAAATACTGCAAGGGCTTGCTTCAATTGACTTTTATCTTCAAAGCCATAGCAAATGTTCCCCGCATGTTTTTGGTGGGTCTCCTTGGCATCCAGGCTGAGAGGATGGGCGAGGGGGGAAGAAGGAGAGGAAAACAAAAGTCTGTCGTTTTTAATTAAATAGTAGCGTTCCCAGCAAGAGGAATGCGAGCCAGTAAAAGTTGCCATTGGGGGAAATGAAGGAGGGGGAGGGGGCCCCAGCTTAAGCCTGTGGCTTTGGTGAAGTCAGGGAATGTTGTTGCCCAGTTGCTTCCCCCAGCTGAGGACAGCATGGGATGGATGGAGCTTGCTGCCCTCCCTGCCTCACTCCCTCTCTCCTCAGCTGGGAGGTCATTAATATTTGTTCAAAGTACTTTTGAAGATGTGAAGCACAGAGCCATCAGCATGACATATGTTGGATGGTTAGAGGGTGGGCCCAGCCATCAAAGATGTTGGGGGCGGGCTCTGCCTTCTTGGGAGTCCTCAGTAACAGACCTGCAGGCCCAGGTTCCCACCTGTGGTGGCCCCAGCAGTGGGGGCATGTGTCCACACTGGGAAAGAACCAGGCTGAGCCCAGGTGTCGGGCAGCACTTGTGGTGGCCTGTGAGGCAATTCAGGTGATCCTTAAAGGTCTTTAATTTTTGTAGGTACCTATTTTTTATTAGAAAAAACTAGGACATCAAATGCATGATTTCATGGATATTACCACTTAGGAGGAATAGACTTTGAAAGAGATAGGTGAGTTTCAAATCAGTGCAGGGAAAAATACTGAGTTTGAGTGGTCACAGCTGGGATGTGAGAATGGGATTCCCCAAGGGTGGGGGACCCTTAGCCACTGATGGACTCACTGCAGTCCTGTCATTTCCCTGTTTCCCATTGGTGTGGGAGGGGTGGCTGGCAGGGCCTTCTGTGATAGCATCGGGATGGTGGGTGTGGGCTCCAGCAGTCTGCCAGCTTTCAGGGCTAGCAGTGCCCTCTAGCCAGCACCCAGCTTGTCTTGGGGAAGGCCTCTGTCATCACTTCTCTATCCTGTCACCTAAATGGTGGGGACACATCACTGGCCTATCCAACTAGCAATGTTATTCCTGTAGTGAGATTGACTGAGTGCCTGTATGTGCCAACAGCATTGCTCGTATTACCTTCATCTCCCCATAACGCTCTGGAGCTCAGCTAGTCGGTGTAGACTGAGTTGTCCTTCTTTCTCCAGTCACGTGTGTGAAGTCCCATACCAGAGCATGTACTCGGAGAGTAGCTCACCTTGTCCAAGTCATTTTACCTTTACCTTGATTAATATATCTGTAAAGTGGGTACAGTAATGTTCTCATCTATGGCGGAATTACATAGATAAATCGTCAGAAAGAACAGATGGGAGTCTTTATGCAGGGATTATGATGCCAGTGTGTTCTTCTTCCTGCATCCTTCCATTGCAGGTTCACCTGGTGGGACCCAGGCTACAGTCCGAGCTTCTGCGTTTCCGTGAGTGCATGATGAGGTGTAAAAGAATCTGAGCACAGTTGAGAAAAGTGGTAGGTTTTAGGAGTCATACGAGTGCTGTGAAATAAGGACAATAGGCTGAGCCACATACACGCCAGAGAAACACGCATTAAGTAGAATTAGAGGCCCAAACCAGCACAGTCATCTCCCAGACGATGGGATGCACTGGGAAATAAAGAGACTGAGAAAGCTCAGTTAGCTACTGGATGTGCAGTGGCTGAATAACAAGCCCCGTAGGTCGGCAGAGCAACTGAGGATTCAGGGTGCAGGAAGACAGCTTGCTTATGTCCAGGCTCCTGGTGTGTACACACCCACACATGTGGAAGCACACAGCCAGACTTAAAACAATCCCGTCTACTCTCCACCCCATGACCCTTTTGTTCTTTTATAGCAGAGCTGCTGTATGCAGAAATAGGCTAGGGGCTGGGGGCAGGCAAGCCCCCTGCAGATCAAAGGCAGCTGCCAGTCACTTTGGTAATTTGATTAGGGGCACCTAGTACATTTTGATATTTGGGGAAGATTAGGAGGGTGCAGGCATGCTGCAGCCTTTGGGAATGTATGGGGCTAGGTGATGAGATTGGAGTCTGGCTTAGTTTCTGCCCCAATGCTGAATTCCAGGGGAATTACCCTTGAATGATACCAGTTGGCACAATTAAAAGGCCTAATGTTTTCACCATGTGGAATGTGTTAGGCCTCCTTACATGGTTTGAAAGCTATGTGCTGGGAGGTGGACTTGACATTTGAGGTAGAGCATAAATTAAATATTTGATGTTTAAGAATTAAAAGATGATTTGCTTCGAGGTGGGATAGTGCTCCAGGGTACAGGCAGCTTTGAGTGGTCCAAGGAGAGTCTCCTCTGCTGATGGCTATTAGGCCCAACTTAGCAGCCCTGGGAGCAACCTTTAACCTGGGAACCAGTGAGGAGTGGCCTGGGAAGCTTGTGCTGTGCCCAGTGCCAGGCATCAATGCTGGTTGCCCTTGGACTGATCCAAGTGGTTATCACTGCCTGCTGCTGTGGTGCATTTGTGTGACAGGACCTCTTGTAGGCGTTTTTCAAGTAGTGCCTTGTCCTCTCTCCCGAAGCTTCTCTGAGGAGTCTGGGCCCCCTGAGCTGGGCCTCATGTGCTCTCTGCTCCCCTGGATTCAGATACTGCTCCACCTTGTGTGGGAAATCCAAGGGAATCCCAATCCAGGTGGCATCTACTGTGTGCCTGGTCAGGACTAGAACTGGGGGCTGTTCTTGGCTCACTTAGTGGGAGGAGGAGAGGAGGTGGAATGGTGGGAGAGTGTCCCAGTTCATACCAGGAAGCTCCCTCTTCCCCCTTGACCACTTGTCTCCATGAATACTTGAAACAGTCAAAGCTGAACTGTCAGTAAAAAGAATTGGTTACCAAATGGGACTTGTTCTGTGTAGTGTCTGAAGGCATATAGCAGGCTGTCACTCTTCATGAATGAATGAAAGAAATTTGGTCACCACCCTTGCCCCATCTATTCCTGCTGTCCTGTTCCATTTTTGATTGGGCTGAGCCTGATCCTGTTCCATTTTTACCTAGGTCCACTGTCCTTAGTAGAAGAGTAGAACCAAGGCTTTCTTTAAGGTACTTAGTCAATCTATTAATATTGAATTGTTAATCCCTAACCACCAGGCACTGGGGTACAGTGGAGAGTAAAGAGACATGGTCTTTGCCTTGGGTGGCTTCCAGTCTAATGGAGGCAAGAGGCAGCAAATGGACTGGAATACAGCCAGGAAATATAGGAGAGGGGGTTGCATCCTGGGAAGGGCCAAGAGGCCCCAGACTCACTCTTGTTACAGGAAGATGGAGAGATGAGTGTGGTAGGAGGCTTTTGTGGGGGCCAGGGCAGGTGGTTGTGAAGGGACTGTAGCTTCACAGCCAGTGGGTAGTGGATGTCTTTCTGGAACCTAATCTTAGAAAGCCCTGCAGGAGAGCAGCTCTTGGCATGCTTGAGCTACCTGTCCAGGGACAGGTGTGTGTGGCTGTCTGCATGCTCCTTTGGAGCTTATTAACCTGTAGTTTGAGGACAGGGCATTACCCCAGCTGTTTGAATAGGTTGCTT